GGGCTCGGGCCCCGCCGCTCGGCCGTACCGCTCCCCGCCGCCCTGACTTCCCCTTGCGGGACGGAGGTGAACCAATGTCACGGGCCCGGCCCAGCGTCCGGGACACTCACCAGGGTGAGGGCGGCCCGGGTGGCTTGCAGCTTCCTCTTGCTCACAGCACGGACAGTGGCTCGGACTAACGACGCCGACATCCTCGCCGTCCCGGCGCCCTGGTGCCTTGGGCCGGAGCTTCGGACGCCTCAGCCTCTCTCCATGGACACAGCGGCGCATTGACGCCACAAGCTCGGCGCAGGGCGCCTCAGGCCCCGCCCCGCGCGTGCCGCGGCCATTGGGCGGGGCACGTGAGTGACGGGCGGAGGGCGGGGAGCAGGCCTCTGCGGTGGCTGGCTGCGCCGCGGCCCAGCCGGAAGGCGGTCACCGCGAGGGCGCTCCGGGCGTGACGTCGGGAGCCGGCTGGGACACGGGGAATGACCTCCGACTCGAGGACACCGAGGCGCGTGGCCCCAGGCCCTGCGCACCGGGCAAGGCGCTCTAAGGCAGAATGGCTCCGAGGCCCGAGCGGCTACGGGCCTTTCAGCTGTGTCCAGCTGGGCAGTTAAGAGCTTAGTTGCAGCAGAGTCATAGAGCAGGGAGTCCCCCAGCCAGCGTGCCGGACTGCCTGGGATGTTGAGGGATGGCGCTGTTTTCCCTTAAGGTGTTGATTTTGGAACCTGACCCTGCCCTAAGATGGGACTGGGCCGCTCTGCGGAAACAAATTTATAGCAAGACCCAATCAGTAAACTTGAACACCTGTTGTCAGCCCTTATTGTGGCTGCTCAGGGGCCCTGCCTTTTAATTCTTCCTGTTAATTTAGCAAGTATTCCTAACAGGAAGCCTGGTAAACGGAGGGCCCAGGGAAGGAGGAGAGATCCTGGCAAGGCTGACGCGCTGCAGGGTTAGCGGATGGGAGAGCGTCAGGATACACGGGTGCTTCCCACGGAAGGGCTAGGAAGAAAGGTTCTGTGGAGTGGGGCTGGGGAGGACAGCTTCTTGCTCAGGGTTTTGATGTGGAAAGAACCAACCGGTGCCGTGTGCTTTGGAGCCCAGTTTATCTTTAATGCTCTAGAGCTTAAAGGATTGTATAGTTCAGAATTCCGTTAAGCAGTTCCCTCTCCCTAATAGTGAAAGGCAACTGCGTTGACAGTAAGAGGATGTAAGTTATTTTCCTAAACTCCAAAGCACACAGAAGAAACGGGGATTAGGAGACAGAAGTGTAGTGGGAGACAGTAGTTGGGTGATTTAGGAACAAGATATTTTATTTCTCATGTCCTTCCTCCTCCAAATATTGTGAAGATTGAATGAAAAGCCCTTAGAGGAGTGCAAAGCACACTGCAGCACTCAATAACCATTTTTAATTACTAATATTTAAAGATGCCATATATTTTGAAACTACTCTGTGACACAATGTGGATACATGCCATTATGTATTTGTCCAAACCCATAGTATACCACACCAAAAATTAATTCTAATGTAACCTATCGACTTTGGATGGTAATGGTGTGTCCCTGTAGGTTCATGGATTGTAACAAATGTCCCACCCTGGTGCAGGTTGTGGATAGTGGTTGGCTTGTAGGGGTGTATGGAAACTCTGTACTTTCTGCTCAATTTTGCTGTGAACCCAAACTGCTCTAAAAAATAAAGTTAATAAAAATGTAAAAAAAGGCTGGGTGTCTCAGGTGGTTAGAACATTGTCCTGATATAACCAAGGTTTTGGGTTCAATCCCTGGTCAGGGCACATACAAGAATCAATCAATGAATGCATAAATAAGTGGAACAAATCAATGTCCCTGTCCCCCTCTAAAAATCAACCGATAAAAAAAAATATATAAGGAAAGTCCTTTAAAAAATGTAAAACAAGATGACGTGTTGTCATTTTTTATCCATTATTGAAATATCACACAGTTGTGTAGCACTTCATAGCTTTTAAAAGAACCCTTAAGCACACTGTGTTATAGCAGCCTCACAACTCTGAGCTGTATGACAGGAATGTTGGTGTAGCTATTTTACAAGTGATACTTCAAAATCAAGCCTTTTAGTATAATGCATCAGACACTATTTTAAAAATTCAGTTCTAAGTTTTCTGATTCAGGACCCAGTGTATATTTAACAGCTTTCTTTCCTTTATTTAATACACACTATTCAGCTTTTAACTTGGTTAGGTGTTTTGCATGGTAAGTGCTAAGTCACAAAATCTAATGTCAGTAGTTCAGTAATATCTAACGTTATTTGAAACTGGTGCAGGTCCCTTAAATTGGTTTTAGAAGAGTTTTCATGACTAAGAAATATGTGCGCTCCTTTATCTCAGAGCAGCAGCTGTTATGTGGTGTCGAAACGAGGTGGGGGTGGGATCTGTTGAAAATGAGATTGCAAGGGGTTACCATTTTTAGATTTCCACTAATAGGTTAAAAACTTTCCAAAGGGAAATGTTCAGTACTGCACAGGATTTAGTGTCAGGGTTCTAGATATTTTAAAATGTCTTTTCCTAATAAGACCTCAGTTGATCCTCACTATGCTGTGAAAGGGCAAGTATGATTTCCATTTTATATGCAAGGAAACAACTGCCAGCAGGTTAGTGGGAGTGCACACAGCTGGAAAATTGGCAGAGCCAGACCCCCATTATGTCTAGAATTTCAAACAGTGAAGTTTGCTAAAGGCTTAGGCTGTTGTCCAAACATACCCTCCTTCAAAGAAAAAAGCACGGAGCACATTTTTACAGTTTTTTTTGGGTGGTGGTTGTTGAATTCTATATTTGCTTTTCAACATTTTTTTTGCCTATAACACTATAAACCCTTTTGACTTATCTACCTATTTTTTCCACTGGAAATTAAAAAAAAAATAGAACCATTTGTGAAATACATTTTAAGATGAAAAAATTAATCTGAAATTACCTCAGAACATTTAAATAACATCTCTAAGTGTGCACATTGTTGATACTGTACACACTGCGCAAGAGATGAGTAAGTATTGATTGGGGCTATAAAAAATGGATTTCATATTTTTGTTTATTCCTGAGAGAAAGAAAAGGAGAATCCCAGTAGTGGGGCATTTTTGTCAAGCCTGTTAAGAGAGAGAGGCCAGCTGCATTTAAAAGATAGCTACGCCCTGGAAACTGAACATGGTATGGAGGCAGATGTATCTGTCCCCCAGGGGCACTGAGAAGGCTCTATGATCTGCATCCAAACAAAGGGAGCAGAGAACCAAGGGCAATTCATTCTCCAGGTCTGCTGGCAAATACTGGTCACTGTCCCATTGATCCAGTGGGGATAGAAATCAAACAAAAAGCCCAAAACACTGGGTAGACTCTACTTTGGAAATCAGAATAGAATGCAGGAAACTTGTAACATCCTTAAAAGGATATAAAAAAACATGGTTTCTATGAAAAGGAAGACAATAAAAATAAAGTAAAATGAAAGGAAAAGGAAGGTGGGTAAAGTCAGTCAAGAAAATTAGAAGCGAAATGACAAAATTTATGTTAGAAACAGCAAACAACAGAATGACACTAAAAATCAAGCCAGTCATGTGGAGATTAAATTTAAGATGTTTTCCTAGCATGAAGGAAAAATATGAGAGAGGACTATTAAGTGAAAAGTATTTTTGAGAGAGCAAAATTAAGAACATAGATACTTTCTCAAACTGATAATAATAATAAAACCTTGAGTAGGGAGATACACTGGATTCAATTTTGTTTCAGACAAAAGTCACCGACACAAACATTACAGGGGTAAACACAGAAGCACCCAAGCAGAAAAATAAAACCCTTGTACAAGGGAACAAAAATTAGGCTGGCCTCAGACTTCTGCTATAATGCCAGAAGACAACAGCGTCAATAGGCTTTCTACAGAAAGTGTGACAAGGACTGTATGCCTAGTCAAGCTGACTTTCATGCATGAAGGCAAGAGAGGAACTCAGACGAGCAGCAGCTGAGGAAAGTCCTGTGGAGCAGAATTTCAGCCCAGGTTGCATAACTAACTCATCAGTTTGTGTTCATTCAAACTGAGTAAGAAATGATCACTAATTCTACCACAACTTCCAAATTCTAAAGTTAAATCTTTTATCATTCTTCTTTGGCTGGAATGTTTCCAACTAATTTGTTCAAAAGAAGGGCCATGGGTTTGTATTTTTTGAGTTCTCTCCTACCTGGGAATGCTTGCCCAGCAAGCACACTCTGCATCTCTCTCTACGTGTTTGTCCCCATAAATCTGTGCTTATTTGTGCATTCCCAGTGCTTGCCACACAGTGGGTGTCAATGACCACCAGGTCGCACGAGTAAAGGGAGCACGATATAGAGTTGCGGATCAGTACTGCCCCTACTCCTTGATCTAGTTTCCTCATAAATTAGGACTCTCACTAGAAAGGGGTGTGGATAAAATTACGAAATTTTGCTTTATTTCGAAATCAAACTGAAGCATAGTTCTGACCATGTACTACTTCTGAGGGGCTTGTGAAGTTACAGACACAGTTCGACAAGGGTTCCAGTCAGACCCAAAATGACACCAACCAAACTTGTGATTGGCAGAGATGGCCTCTTTAATCACCAGGGATTTTTTTAAGTTCTCCACCCTAATTTCTGAATACCATAAAAAGTAAAAAGCACTTTTATTTGTCATTTTTCCTTTGAAAATGTTTTTAGCAGCAAACAGGACTACTTTTTTTCCTCACTTCATTTTTATGAGCATAGCAATTATATATGTCAACTTAATTAAAATTAGAGAGGGGAAAAAAACCAAAAAGCCCCTCAATGGCATTGCTCATCCATGGAAGACTCATATAAACAGGTAATTATGTTCATGTTATCACTTCTACAAATATCAATAAAATAAGGTTCGTAGATCGTAAATACAGTAGTAGCAGTTCACACATATTTGACACACTTTCACACAGGATTCAGTAAACAACAATAAATATAATTTCCCCTCTTCAAAACAAAAAAAGGGATTTATAGGAAAGAAAGGATTAATTTGCTTGGGGCTTATCAGCACACCATTTTAGTGTGGTCTGAAAGAATTAAAAACCATGAAATTGTATTCACTGAATACTGGCCCATAGTTACATTTTTTTTTTTTTTTAATCCTGGCTTAAATACATACACCATGGCTTTCTATTAAAATCCTTAAATCTATGAGGATTTTTGGTAGGTAAGACTACATTAAAAATTTTCTTCCTTATTATGAATTTCATTCAGTTAAAAAAAAAATCTGACATTTCCCTTAAATGTTAAGT